TTTCTCTGTGTAGCTTTGTGCCTTTCCTGGGACTCACTTGGTAGTCCAGGCTGGCCTCGAACTCACAGAGATCTGCCTGCCTCTGCCTCCCGAGTGCCGCCCGGCAGCAGCTGTTTCTTTAAGGTGAAAAGTAGCTTTTAGTAGCTGTCCGCTAAGCAGTTAGATGGCTGCTCTAGTACCACTTATTCCTGTCCCCCCAATGACCAGAGGATTAAAGGGTGACATTTCAGAACTCTGTGTCTGGGCAGGTAGCCCAGTGGCAGAGCACCTACTTAGCTTGCACAAGACCTAAAATTAATCCCCAACATCCTTGCCTATAGACACAAACGTTAAGAATAACTGGTCTGTCCATTGCTTTTCTCTATATGATACTTAATTTTTTAGTATCTTTGGACTTTTTAGACAATGTTTAATGTATCCCATGCTGGCTTCAACTCACCATGTAGTTGAGGGTGGCCATGAACTCCCCATCTTCCTGCCTCTGTCTCTAAAGTACTAGAATTAGGGGAGTATGCTACCAAGCCTGGTTCTGTATGCTACTTTAAATACGGATTGGGCCGGGCGGTGGTGGCGCACGTCTTTAATCCCAGCACTCGTGAGGCAGAGCCAGGCGGATCTCTGTGAGTTCGAGGCCAGCCTGGACTACCAAGTGAGTTCCAGGAAAGGCACAAAGCTACACAGAGAAACCCTGTCTCGAAAAACCAAGAAAAAAAAAACATATTGGATTTTTATTATTCCTCATTCGGTAATTGACTTAATGTCTGTCTTTCACTGAACACCGTGACTGTCTACTACAGGAGAAATGCTGTGTACTCTCAGTCCTCACAGGTGCCTTCTAAATGGGCGGAAGAAACAATGACAACACAAGTAGAGGGCTGGAGCGCTGCTCAGCGGTTAAGAGCGCTGGCTGCTCTTGCAGAGGACCTGGACTGGATTGCCAGCACCTACACAGTGGCTCACCAGCACCTGTAACTTGTTCCAGGGGATCCCACCACCTCTTCTGGTAGTTATTCTATGGTATACTCCTCTGGATTGGACATTTCTTCTAGGAGGGAAGGAGAAGGCTTACCAGCCTCAAGCAGGAAATGGGAGGTGAAGAAAAGCTGGCAAGTCTGAAAACACAGTCATGGAAGAGTATCGAGAGCCCCTGCCCAACAGAACAAAAGAGGATACAGTGGCTGGCCCTGGAGACTGAGCCGCAAACTGCTGACAGAGACATTTGACTGTGACAGTGGTGGCACTGTACTCAAACTGCGACGAGCTCTGCAGTGTAGAGAGCCCCAGGATTTCTGGATTTGGAGAGTTGTTACCCACGCTGGAATAGGATCCTGGTGATGCTGCTCTTTGAGTTCTCCTTGCTCCTTTTCAGTAACCCCTCACCCATGCTCCTGCTTGTAACCCTAATAAAAAACCCACTGGTTCACCACATTGGTGCAATTTTTACTTTGGTCCGTCATGGACTCTCTTTCAAGGTAAGTAATGTATGTGTGTATGTGTGGTCTCTCCAGGAAAAATATATCACACAACAGTGGTGCATAGACATGCATACAGATAAAATATCCAAACACGTAAACATTTTTGAATAAATGCAAGGACAGGGCGGAAGTGTAAACACAACTAAAGAGCAATGGAGGACTTGACAGAGATTTCCCGGAGGTCACAGCCACAGTGGGAGTAGAGGTGTTGTCTCTGCAGTGGCCAGAGGACATCCTCTGCCTTCTACACTCACAGTTCCACCATCCTCACCGGCAGAGAACTCTCCATTGCTCCCATGGTGTCCCACACCCACACCACCCCTCTGACATCAAATCAGAATGTTACATAACGACCTGACATTGAGGAGCCCTGCTGCACAGACAGAATACCCGTGAACACACAGGGACATCATTGTAGACAGAGAGTAATGGCTCAGGTTTTCAGTTCGCAGGTCCTAAATCTATTACACACACAGAGTACATTCTGGACACATGAATGTCCTGTTGTCCTTACCTCAATGAGACAGAAAATGATAATCAAAACTGTCACCACTACAGTTACAGATATTGCCAAGATGACTTTGTTGTTGTAGCCGTATCCTGGAACTGCTTTTGTGAGCTAAAACGTACAAGATAAATGAATAAATAGTCATTTCTGTGGTCAAGTGATAAAGTAAAAAGAATGAGAGAAGGTGAAGGCTAATTGCTCAAAATTCATTCTTGAGCTGTGCATGGTAGCATATAGATCATCTAGCAACTGGGAAGTAAGCTAGGAGGACTCATAGGAGATTGGTTCCAGCTTCAGCCACAGGGTGAGCAGGCCACTTTGGACTGACTGTACAGTGAGGTTCTGACAAAGAACCAAGGTCCGGGCATGTACCTCTGTGCTCGAACCCTTGCTTAGCTTGTGCTAGGTGCTGGGTTTGATCTACACTGAACAACAAAATGATATAGAACAAACAAACAAACCTAAAAACATTCTTCTAAGCCGGGTGATGGTGGTGCACACCTTTATTCCCAGCACTCAGGAGGCAGAGGCAGGTGGATCTCTGTGAGTTCGAGGCCAGCCTGGTCTACAGAGTGAGTTCCAGGAAAGGCCCAAAGCTACACAGAGAAACCCAGTCTCAAAAACAAAAACAACCCCCCCCCAAAAAAAAAATCTTCTAGGTGAGTAGCTTTCAGATTTATAAGAGATCATACTGGATCCAATGTATTACATGCTTTATTATTGTATACTTCATTATATTCTGTGTTTTAGGTCTGCTTCAGTCTCTAAATTTAGAAACAGTGGAAGCTAGGTGTGGTAGCAAAACACATTTAATCCCAGCACTGGGAAGCAGAGGCAGGTGGATCTCTGTGGTTCCAGGCCAGCCTGGTTTGCATGGGAATTCCAGGAATTCAGGGCTACATAGGGAGACCCTGTCTCAAAAACAAAACAAAACAACTCAGCAAAATACACACCGAAGCACAGCAGAAATCACTGTCTCTAGTGTGTGGCCAATACAAGATCTGGAGTGGGAGCCCCTGGTCTTTCTGCTTGAATGACTGAGAAGGCAGGGGCCCTACATTCCGGCACTATCCTCACCTGACTTGGTTCCAGACCCTTCTGTTCACCTTGGGCTTCTGTGCTCTCATTGATGTAGTTTTCGGTTTTCCACTGCTCTGTATCCCAGTCGGTCCTGGACAACTTGAATTCTTGTTGCTCACTGAGAAGCTTCATCAGGAGCCCTGTTCTGGAGATGAGCTTGGCACAGGACAGTTGCACGTGGGAGTCAGTGCAGTCCATCTTCAAAGTCCTGATAACATGAGAAATAAGCCTCCTCACGTTATTGTTGGGGATAAGGGGCCGCAGCTGCTTGTTTAGATGAGATTCAAACTGATCACCTGGTGACATCACCAATGGGTACTCATTTTCTTTGAAATGGACATGTGAGTGAGCCCCCAAGATGAAGTCTAACGGTGGCTCACTGGTTTGCTTAACAGTTGTAATTGAATCAGATGTAGTCACATTGGACTCTGTAGCCGGATTCTCAGGGGTTGTAGTCTCTGATGCAGCTCCTTCAGGCACAGTAGTGGTGTTTGTTTTGAGGCTGTTTCCTCCAGTATTAACTGTATTAACTGTTGTAGTATGATTTTCTTCAGGTGGTTTTTCTGTAGAAGGTTCTGAAGCAGCATATAATTCTGAAAAAGGCTTTCCTGCATAACTCAGGTCTCCTAAAGATGAAAAGACCCTTCCCGCAGGGGAATTTACCAGGCTCCTCACTGCAGAGGATGCTGGCTTCTTTGCAATCAACTGGAAATGAGACTTTTTCTTCCTAAGGTTTCGATGTCTCTCTTCAGACTGTAAATTAGGATTAGACCCCTTCGTTCTTTTCACATTGGCATTTGCACTTTCTAAAACATAAATGGTGTAAGACAAGTCTTTTCGTCTGTCTATGAACTCAGGTAGAGACTTTGTAGTGGCAGCCTCGTCCACCAGGGACTGTTCTGGGGGAAAAGACACTGCCTCCCTGTGTTCCTTTGGGAGCAAGGGCTCTGAGTGGAAGGAATTTCCCCCTGACTTCCTGAGCTTCTGCCCCGGATGGAGCTGCTGCAGCTCTGTTGTGGGTGGGCTCCTGAGCTGCCCGTCTTTGGCGATGTTCTCCACAGGTGCGTGGTCACTCTGCTTGCTCCACAGGCTCTTGGCACTCACGTCCTTGAAATGCCTTTTCTGTATGCTTCCTGTCCCCTGGAGCACTCTGTTCATCCTGTGGAGCCTTTTCTCTGCCTTCTCAATCTCTGCAAGACTGCTTTCCTCTGCCTGGGCAGGTTCCCATCTCTTTTCAAATATCCGTCGTTTAAATTTGGAACCCAAGCGGCTAGACTGCTGCATAAGCATGGCGGTTTTCTCTTTCTTTCTAACCTCATCGATTTCTGCATCTAACAAATTCTCTAGAAAATAAAGCTTATTCAGTTTATTTTTGTAAGCCATCTTACTTGCCTTTGGTACAGGGTTAAGAGCAAGACTCCTTGAATCATTTTTGTAGGGTTCCAGTGAATTATCTGTACTTTGTATATTAGAAAACAGCAGTTTAATGAATGGTAACAATGTTGACACTACATCTTCCAGATTTCCCTCTGAGAAATATGGCAGTATGTAATTTAGGGCACTAATAACATCACTTTCATCGTTAAAGTCCAGCTGTTCATTCATGAAGCCTGAAGAGCTAAGAGCATCTTTTTCTAAAGCGCTGCTTTCGGGTTCAATAGCAAGCTCTGTGCTGGTGTTCTCTTTCCGGGACTGCAACACCTTCATGAACGGTCCTTCTGGGTTCCCTATAGAGGCCTCAACTGTCAGAGACGAAGAGATTGCTTTGGGTCAGAGGACACTGGCAGCCCTTCCCCAGTCCACAGCCATTTAACGCAACCAAATAAATTAGGGGTCAGCAAATGCTGGATGGAGCACCCATGAGTGGAGAGAAAAATAACCCCAAATTTAAACCTATGAAATGGCAATGACAACCAGAGGGGACAGGACCAGCCAAGCAGCTGCTTGGAACATTCTACAGCATACACACAGGGCGCCTATGGAGAGCTGCCCACGTTCAGACCTCAGGAAAAGATCGCAGTTGGAATACAGGGTCTCACTAAGTTGCCTATGTGGCCTTGGAATGGGCTCCTTTTGTCTCAGCCTCCTGAGTAGGTGGCATTACCACCATGTGCCACCACACTCCACTTAGAAAAACACTTTAAAAATCATATGACACCAGACATGGTGGCGTATACCTATGATCCTGGCCAAAAATCAATAAATAAATAAATAAAAAATAAATAAATAAAAATTCCAGAGTCAGAGACAGGCAGGTTTGTATGAGTTCAAGGCAAGCCTGGAACACTCAGGGAGCCCTAGGCCAGCCTGGAACACTCAGGGAGCCCTAGGCCAGCCTGGAACACTCAGGGAGTCCTAGGCCAGCCAAGCCTACATAATGAGACCCTTCCTTAAAAAACTAACAAACAACAAACAACTCATTAAAATCACACAAGTGACCTGTGGCTAGAAAAACTTGAGGCTGAGCACAAATACAGAGCTGGCCAATCTAAGCATGTTCTATTAGGAGAGGCAGGCAGCACTCACTGTTTCTAGAATGAGAAGCTCTTGGATTCTAAACCAAAGGGCATCACAGTGTTCAGAAAGTGCATAAGAAAACAAAAAAAATCATCTATATCTTCCCTAGAGGTCAGGGGTGCTTGAGATCATGTATATAAATCCAGCTGCAGGCGGCAGTGCCATTTATGATAAGTGACCACTGAAGCAAGGTACGGAGCATAGTGTATATAGTTGACAGAATGTGAACATTTATGTCACCCGTCCTGTTCCAGTCCATCTCTTGCTCTTTTTGTGTATGGAACAACTTTATATGTATATATTTCTTTGGTTTTTTTGAGACAGGGTTTTACTGTGTAGTCCTGGCTGTCGTGGAACTCATTCTGTAGACCAGGCTGGCCTCAGACTCACAGAGATCCGCCTGCCTCTCCCTCCTGAGGGCTGGGATTAAAGGCGTGCACCACTGCAGCCACCACCACCTGGCTAATAAGTATATGTTTTTAAAGAATTCATTTTATGTGTATGAGTGTTTTGCCTGCATTTACATATGTGTACCTCATGTGTGCCTGGCCTGCAGAGATCATAAGAGGGCATTGGATCCCTTGGAACTGGAGTTATAGATGATTGTGAGCTACCATGTGGGTACTGGGAACTGAACCTGGTCCTCTGCAAGAGCAGCAAGTACTTTAAACCACTAAACTATCTCTCTAGCTTCATGTGTGTATGTGTATGTGTATGTATGTACATATATTGTGTCTGCATGTGCATGATGTGTATGGATACATTTATGATGGTTTGAGTGTGGAGGTCAGAAGGCAACTCTGTGGAGTTTTTCTTTCTTTCAAACTTTATGGGAGTTCCAGAAATTGATTAAGATCACCAGATGTGGGGCTGGAGAGATGGTTCAGAGGTTAAGAGCACTGGCTGCTCTTTTGAAGGTCCTGAGTTCAATTCGCAGCACCCACACGGTGACTCACACCATCTGTAGTGATGTCTGATACCCTCTTATAACTAACTAACTAACTAACTAATTAACTAACTAACTAACTGCTTTTTTTTTAAAGGATTACCAGATGTGTGTGGCAAGCATCTTGATCCTCGGAGCTCTCTCTCTGGCCCACAGAACAATCATATTTTTAAATAATGCAATAATATCCGAGAGCCCAATTTTTACAAGAGAGAAATTCAGAAGTTTAGGGAGTTCTATTACAAATGAAGAAATAGAAGTAAAGAATTAATAAATTTTAGGACCACCACAGAAGGGGGTGTGGTGGTAGACAGATTGTAAGAGCCAGAGGACCAGGAAGTCAGCCGTTGAGATTTTGTCATCTAGGAATGACAGGAAAGTTACACCCGTACCACCTCAAAAATACTGTTGCCTACACAAAACCTGAACAAGGACAACACTAATAGACATATTAAAGGGAAAATGTCATGAGGCCCCACTCCTAGACAAAGAATTACAGGCAGTTAATGACTGCTGAGAGATGGAGAATTAGTCTCTCCCAGGGAGGAGCCTCCTAATTGGTTATCCAATAAAAGTGGTCAGCCATGAATCATATACACACAGCAGCACCAACAAGATTCAGCAAGTCATATTATATATTTATGTGTTTATATCTCTGTATATGTAGCAATAAGAATCAGGAAAAAGAGTCAGTTTGAGAGGGAGTCAGGGGGATATGAGAGGGGTTAGAAGGCAGGAAAGGAAGTGATTAATTAATTTTAATTAAAATAAAAAATAATTTAAAAAGAAAAATTATATTTACCAGTTAAAATTATATGTCAATATTAAAACATTTATCAGGAAGAGACTCACGACAATATGTGGTGTTTATCAGACATCCAATATGACAATGCAGTTTGATTGTCTTGCAGACAATCTCAATATCAGCTTTATATTTGCAGAGGCAGCAGACCATGTGTTTAGGCAAGATCCTATAAACAGGAAGACAGAACATTGGTTTACTGGAAAAGCCTTACTGAGGTGCAGAAGAGGCAGGCCAAGGCCACCACAGGGTTGGAGAGGAAGGAGTTCTTGAGGCACGCGGCGTGGGCAGTTGGGTGGGGACTCAAAGGCAAATTGCTGCTCCCTGAAATTGAAAATAATCATGGAGGAGGACAGAGGTGCTCAAAGAAGGGCGAGGGTCAGGGTGGGTTTGTGCCTAAAACAAAGGTGACGGGAACAGCACTAGGTGACATGGGTGGAAGAAGCCTCTCCTCCCAGCTCAAGTCTCCCTCTGTTGGTCATGAACAGGAAGAAGGGCCTGGGCAAGCCTCCAACCTAGGGATACTTTTTCCCTATTCCTGTTGTGAGTAAAAAATACTAGAAATCATCTCAAATCTAAAACAGTTTATTTTAATCATATGATGTAGTTAAATGGCATCAAGGATCAATCACAATGACCATGCCTGTATAATTCGAAAGGATAAGGACCCCAAGTCCAGATGAACACCTTCAAGACATTGCTTTCTCATACTGCTGGTGAGATACGCTAAAGATCATGCTCAGGGAGAGAAGACAAATCCAAAAGGCCACACACTATGGGATGTCATTTATGAGATGTGCTGGGGAAGGAAAAACTGTAGGGCTAGAAATAAGATTGGTGGATCACAGGGGCTGATGGTGGGAGGGGTGCAAAGGTTCAGGAGGGGCCCTTAGGAGGGACAAATGGTCTGTATCAGTGATGTAATAGTGGTTATGGAACTAACCATGAAAGCTCAATAAAGCACGTACTTGAATTAATTGCATGAAAATTATACCTCAATACCTCAGACTCAAGAAATAAGGCAAATCTCAAAACATTTAAAATACAAGAAACCATAAAGAAATCTAGGGCTGGCAAGATGGCTCAGCAGAAAGTCCCCTGCCCCATAAACAAGTTTGATCCCTGGAACCCACAGTGTAATAAGAGAGCCAACTCACAAAGCTGTCCTCTGACCTCCGTACTCATGCTGTAGTACACACACACACACACACACACACACACACACACACACACACACACGAATTAACATTTTAAAATCTAAGTGAAATTATTCCAAGAAAATGAACCTTACAGATGTTCCAGCTCCAGAGTCATCATGAGGATGTTCTCAAGCGCCTTCAGTGGCACTTGGGTTGTTCCCAGGTCTCTGAAGGAGAAAGCCAGATTTCATGAGGAACCATTTTTGTCACATGTGGTTACTTAGACCCTGGCTTTCCTATGAAGCTCTCTGGCTCAGGAATTGATTGTTGGGGTTGGAGATGGCTCAGAGGTGAAGAGCATTTACTGCTTGCTCTTGCAGAGGACCTGAGTTCAGTTTCCAGCACTCATGTTGGGCAGCTCACATGGAACTCCTACTTCATAGCATCTACTGCCCTCTTCTGGCCTCTCCAGATACTTCCACACATGTGGGCATATTAGCATACAGACATACACATATACAGGTAAACATAAATAAAAGTAAAATCTTATTGCCGCAGAAGATTATTTCATAGAGCTCTTATTGAAAAAAAAAAGCAAGTTTACTAGTTAATTTAATGACCCTGGCATAGAATAGAACCTGTCTTTTCTGTCATTATCTTCCTTCTCATTTTGATATTGCATTCACCCTATTACAACCACCACTCTATAGTTTATTTTTCACTTTACTTTCTAAACAGTTATTTCCTATTTATTTAAAGTCCTGTCAGCCTGTATACACTACTTATATTAAAAATACAGGAATCTGGGTATTTTAAGTTTTGAGACAAAATCTCTTTGTGTAGCCCTGGCTGGCCTGGAACTCACTATATAGACCAGGCTGGCCTTAAACTTATAGCAACCTGCCTGCTTCTGCCTCCCAAGTGCTGTGACTAAAGGTGTGCACCACCACACAGGGCTTCTTTTTCATTTTTTTTTAAAATGTTTACTTATTATTTATGTGTATGCATGTATGTTCTGGTGCCTGTTGAGACCAGAAGGCAACACAGATGCTCTGGAATGAGTTCCAGGAGGTTGTGAGCCAGCTGATATGTTCTGAGAACTGAACCCGGTTTTCTCTAGAAGCATTAAGTCCTCTTAACCATTGAGCCATCTCTCCAACCCCTTTTCCTTCTTTTTAAAAAAAATTAATTTTTTTTTTTTGTGTGTGTGTATGTACATGTGCCACAATGCAGATGTGGAGGTCAAAGGACACATACTATGAGTTAGTTCTTGAACTCAGGTCCTTATCCTTGGTGGCAAGCCCCTTGATTTGCTGAACTATCTTGTCAGGCTCCTACTTTATTTCAATTTTTTTTGAGACAGTATCTTCCAGTGTAGCCCTGGATGGTCTGTAACTCACAGAGATCTGCCTGCCTTTGCCTTCCAAGTGTTGGAACTAAAGGCAGGCACCACCTCGTCTGGCTTTCCATCCTGTTGTCAATGATTTTTTTTTTTAACAATCTAGTTAAAACTAAAACTGTGATTTTTTTCATCACTAAGGGAAAATACCCTCCTGATGGAAATAAAGAAGAGCAGAAATCATCTAAGGAACCATGAGATTGCCACAATACTTACAGATATTTTAACGCTGGCAACTTATAAAAGTAAGGATCTTCAACAACTGTCAGAGGGTTACGGCTGAGAATTCTGAAAAATGCAATGGAATTTACATTACAAATATTTCAACATTTTAAAACTACTTGAAAAGTTTGGATTCATTTCTTTAGTATGGAATACTATAATAAATTATAAATAAATAAATAAATAAGATATAAAAATAGCTATAAACTCTCCTTAGAATCCATGAGCATTCTTCCCTTGGAAACCATCCATGTGTATAGAAAAAAAAAAGAGAAAAACAGGAAGAGTGCGTGGTGGGGAATACAAAGGAAAAAATTGCCAAAGAGCTTTTAGGTTACAAACAAAACAAAAAAACCCAACAACAAAGAAGTACAATGGTAATAAAGTCCTTACCCTGCAGGAAAGGCTTTTGTTTGGGGATTACTTATTTATTTATTTGTTTATATTTACTTTTTCCGTTTTTCAAGACAGGGTTTCTCTGTGTTGTCCTGGCTGTCCTGGAACTCGCTCTGTAGACCAGGCTGGCCTCAAACTCTGATCTCCATCTGCCTCTGCCTCCCGAGTGCTGGGATCAAAGATGTACGCTGCCACCACCCAGCAAGGAAGGTGAGGGAAGGCTGTTCTTAATATCCCCCATAATTCAAGGTGCTTGTCTATTTTTAGAAATATAAAACACTTTGTAGTTACTTCACTAAGTCAAGAAAAACAACAGGACAATCTCCCTGGCTTTGGAGGAGAAACAGAAGGCTGTCAGAAGAGCCAGAGAAGGCTCACGGCACAGCAAGCCTCCATCTAACATTCTCACTTGTGTTCTTCATCAGCACAGATGGAGCAAGCCTGTGCATGTGTCAGTCTGTCTTCTCCTTCCACAGGTCCCAGGAATCAAACTTAGGTCATCCATCTTGTGCAGCAAGAATTCTTACCTGCTGAGCCATCTCTGCGCCTAACATCGCCTTTTCCTTTAAATTATTTTTTTGACAGTGATGGTGATTGAACCTAGGACTTCATGCACAGGTGATATGTGTACGTGTTCTTACTGAGCTATGGCCACAGCTCTAGTTCATACAATTTATCTTAATCATGTTCTTTGTTTGTTCGTTTGTTTTCAGGACAGGATTTCTCTGTGTAGACCAGGCTGTCCTCGATCTCAGAGAGATCAGTCTGCTTCTGCTTCCTGAGCGCTGGGATCAAAGGTGTACTCTGCCACCACCCAGCATTTGATCATGCTCTTTCAAGATAACTTTTAAAAACACAATTTTCTGGGTTGGCCAGTTGGTGCAAATGGCAGTTGGCAGGTAAGGGACTACTGACAACCTCACAACCATATTTCAGTCCCTGAACCCCGCTGTCTTCTACTTACACAACTGCATATGCAAACTAAATAAGTAAAGGTTAAAGAGTTGAAATATAAATTTTAAGAATGTCTGAATAGTATTAAATATCGACTCACTATCTAGCTCAGGATGACCTTGTGACTCTGGTCTTCCTAACTTTACCTACCATGTTCTGGGATTGCCGCCATGAGCGCCACCATGACTGGCTTAGAAGTTAACTGTTTAAACCTCACGTGCTCATGTGAATGCTTCTGGAAGAATTATACTTTCCTTTTACTCCTTCTCCCTAATTGTTTCCCATGACTAACATTTAATTAGCCCATTGTCCCTGAGATGTTATAGATTCAAAACTATGACAACATGTTGATGCCAATGAAAATAGTCGAGTAAGGACATCAGAGTTCATCCCACCATAAAATAATGAAATATCAAACTGTGGAAATTTAACCAAAGGCTTACCACACTCCAGAATCATTTATTCAAGAAAACCAACTCAATTTCTGTAAGAACGCTAAAATTTGTGTTATTTTAACTTGACCTACGTCATTCCTCACCGTAGCTCTGTGGTACCCTTAAAAAACAGCCCATAGCCCCACTATTAGAGGGAGCAGAATGGAGCTGCAGCTCCCACAAAGCCTCAACCCTAGGGAATTCGTGGCCCCTAGTGAGACTAGACTTGTTTGTATCTGACCTGACTGGACAGTCTCTAGTTCTAGAAACTCCCCAGAAGATGTTTTTGGAAAATGATTGCAGACAAATGTCCTAACTGAGGCAGTTATATGAGGACAGTTGGGACGACAAAAAGCCTATGCAATAAGACTGACAAGAAATCAGAGGAATACAATGTCCACAGGAACTTTGAGATGCTCATGTATGAGTTTGGAAACAGAAGACCACAAGCGGTCTGCCTGGAAATTTGGAAAGTAAGTCGCGCAAATGTGTGTATCTTAAGGTAGGTAGAAAACCACCCAAGAACCCCTGAGGAAGTTCACCCCTGGCTGATCTTGCAGTTCTGCACAGGTAGAAGGGGAAACTAAGGCTGCCTCCAAAAACACCCACACTAGAGTCCCAAAGGCAGGTAGGAAAATGGGTTCCTTAGAAGATGGTCAGAGAAAGAAGTAGAGGGACCCAGACCCTGCTCCAACGAGCATGAATTATGTGAGGAATGAAGAAATCCTTTCTTTTCTTTATCTACAAGGCCTATAAGCCTGATAGTATGCCTCCCCGTGTGAATTCTGTGTTATACCAGTAGATTGCAAGAAATAAAAAATGATGAGCCGGTATCTTAACCACAGTGCTGAGAGTCACTGTGCTTAAACTTGCCATAAGGAAGACTTCCATGAAGAACAGGCAAAGGTGGCTTGAGCCAGTAGGATCTGGGTTCAAACTCTGGCTCTGTGACTTTCTAGTGAAATGATGTGAGTAAGACAGCCTGAAACCTGAGTTCTTTTAGTAGCATTTTCCTCATCAAACAGTCCAAGACTCAAAGGTATCTAGAAGGGGCATGGCCAGAGCAGGTGCCTCAGCACTAGTGACTTTGTATGTACAATGGGCCAGTGGCAGGAACCCTGGGGATACCAGATACTAGTGTGCCTAGGAGTATGAATTTCTTAGAGGGAAATGCAGCTCTCTGCTCCATAGGTCTGGTCTTAGTTAGGGTTTCTACTGCTGTGAAGAGACAACATGACCACAATAACTCTTATAAAGGAAAGCATTTAAATGGGGTGACTTGCCTGAATGCTTAAGGGAAGTTCCTTGTCTGTGTATCCTGAATAATGGGCGTTAACAGCTTAGATGCAAGATTGTAAAACATCAGTAGTGAACTTCTGCCCTCTGAGGTCCTCCCATTGTGCTATAAGCCTGTATTTAACCTTCTACCCACTTCAAGAAATGACATTCAACATTTAAAATTTATATGTATATATATATGTATATATATATATGATTGAATGAATACTTCGAATGTAATCTATGAATACCACAAATGTGATTAATATCATGAGTGTAAGTAATGAATATCAGGAGTGTAATTTAAAAAAATAAATACATAAAAAAATAAAAATTAAAAAATGGGGTGGCTTACAGTTTCAGGTTTAGTCCATTCTCATCATGGTGGGAAACATGGAGGCATACAGGCAGACATTGTGCTGGAGAAGGAGCTGAGAGTTCTATGTCTTGATATGCAGGCAACAGGAAGTGAACTAACTCACTAGGTGTGGCTTGAACATATATGAGACTTCAAAGCCCACCTCCACAGTGACACACTTCCTCCAAGAAGACCACACCTACTCCTACAAAGCCATACCTCCCTTTGGGGGCCCCTTTCTTTCAAGCCATCACAGGTCCTGTTAGAAGTCAACTTTATGATAAGATACAATGCACAAGAAGCTGAGTGAAGCTGTCCAGAAGACAGTCTCTCAGTGGTTCCATCACTTGTTAATGATGTGAGCACAGACAAGTTAGCCAACATCTCTCAGTTTCAACTTCATCAATTGCAAAATGTGGATAATGGTTTCACTGCAAGAGTTTTGGGGAAAGTGAAAAGAAAGTGACATGTTTGAATATGTATTATGTGCCCAATACTTTTGTAGGAACTTCATGGCATTATTTCATTTGTTTCAGTATTTCATATAGTGCTTGGAACATAACAAACATCTCATAAATGTAGGTATCAAAGAATTGTTACAGGCAGAGGGAGAATTCCTAGGATTGCAAGAGAAGGTGCCTTCCCACACCAGTGGGAAGAATAGGATGCAACAGAGAGAAAAAAGGTGTCACAGTGTTGGATGTGACCCTTTCAAAAATGCTGGAAGGTTACAAATTAAACATCCTGTCTTGATCATCCCAAAGGACAAACCTGAGTTGCTCCTGTCATCTTTAATGTTTGTGCCTCTCAATGTGAGAAGCAGCTGCCAGGATACTGTGAAAACCAGAGGGAGGAAGGAGCATGTCCTCAAGGGAGCAACTTTTTTTTTTTAACACATTCAATTTTTTTAGATTTATTATTCTATGTATGAGTATTATGCCTACATGTATGTATGTATGTGCGCCACATGCAGAAGCCAGAAGAGTGCATTGGGTCCCCTGGAACTGGAGTTTACAGACATTTGTGAGCCACCATGTGAGAGTTAAACCCAGGCAACAAGTACTTTTAATCACTAAGCCAGCTCTCCAGGCCCAGTAGCAAACTTTTGGACATGAATAATTTCCTATAGGAAACCAATGCTAGGGAGCTAGTTGGAAGCACTGGGGTATTCCTGGCTCCATGAGTCAATTTATGGTTATTTACCCTGTGGATAGTCTTAATTGTGGGTAGACACTTCAGTAGGGATAAAACCTGAATTTTCCTTTCAGGGTTATGCTCTTGGCACAGTATTGATGGACCATAGACAAACTATCATGTGAATGTGCTCAGTCTGAATAGAGTGTAGCTCTTTTGTCCAGTGAAATCCTTCAGGGAGCTGATTATTAATAGCAATGAAGTCACTAAAAGACTTTGAAAACAAGTCGGTCAGGACCTGTGCAGCTAAATGAAGGAGAAGCACTTTCAAGTTGGGAGGGGTGCACTTACCATGCAGATTGTCACCCACTATTGTTTTTTTGTAACATTTTTCATATTAATGAGACATGATTCCTATTGTCAATAAAACAATGGTACTTAACTAATGAACTTTTGGTGTGTCTTTGACATGGATTTCAGATTCAAGAGCATCTGACCCTGAGGGTACTGCT